AGCAAGCACTTCGCTGACAGTGACTTCTGCCACCAACCGTACGCCCCACTCTTCGGTGAGCTTGTAACCGTGGTTGAGCACCTCACATAAGTCATTCATTGCACGGAGGCTACAAGATTAGACGACTTACACTGGATGCGGTGCCATCGCAAAACCTGCCAAAGCGGCCTCTAGATAAGAAGCCGAAGACGCGGCCTCTGAATCTCCTCGCAGGTGAGCCCGCCTCGTGAACGCAGCTGAGCCAGAGAACGCCGTTGAGCGGCGTAGGATGTTGAGGTGTGCGCCGGCAGCCGCCGCCGACGCTAACTAATCAATGCCGCCGATGTGTTCTTTCGGCGCGCTATTTATGTACGATTAAATTTTTTTATTAAACCTGCCTTTCTATGGCAGTTAATGCTCTCACCAGCAGATCGTCGGTCCTTTCTTAATTCTGCCCTCTAGAAAACGCTTCACAGTCTCTTCGCCTGCTGGTTACAGTTAAATAATTGGACCAGAAAAACTGGAAATGTAATGTTTGACTCAAAATAAACATTAATTTTAAGCTACTTTTCAGGCTCACTACTAGTTAAACAAATACAGATCGGTTTAAGGTAGAAGATACAGTTAAGGTGTAAGTACTTCTATGCGTATGAAAGCAATCACTTATGTTTCTCAGCAGTCTAAACGAGCAAGACGCAGCTGTTTGGGGCATACGTATTTAGAAAACGTCGGTTTAGGAATCGGAATGTCATCTAGAGCTGTTTGTTCTCAATCGGCTCTGCTTCTTTATAGTATCTCTGTTATGCCAACCATATTCTGTTTCATTATATGTTACATTGTTTTTAACTTGTTCTGGACTTTTTTTTCACTATCATTCATGTTTCCACACCATGTGTTAGTTATGGCACCATACAATAGTCAGCACTTTTCGCTCTAGGTACAGTTGTAAATTCTCTGTCATTATTTTGGAGTGTCTGCCGTTTATGCTCTAGCCCATCTATGTTCTTTGCTGAATTTCCTTTTCATGAGTAGAGTGACCTGTGAATATCTGACTTAAAGAAATTGGCAGATGATATGCGAAGTACAAATGAGGAAAATTGATATTTCACTTCGAAATCAACACACCGTTACGAGGCAGACCTAAATATATGCCGCACATGAGTTCCATGTCATGATGGTTGAAGGTAAAAAACCTGGAGGCACTGCGCCGATCAAAGTAAAAGTTAAAAAAAAAAACACAGAGAAAAGACCTTTCGGCTCCTACACGGAAGCCTTGTTCACAGTGAAATGAAAACACGTGTAAAGCAATTGGCCTTATGTATGTTTCAATATATCACGCAGGCAGCGCGCATATACTGACGGCAGATTATCATTGCTTCTGTTTGACGTGCGCGGAGTGGTTTGTATCACGAGTCACTCAAGATAAAGACGCCGGGACAGTCCTTTTTCTCTAGCGAGAACACGTGCCTTCCCTCAATTGATTGTGTGACCATCTGACGCATGCTCGGCTAAGGCACTGGATTTAACATTTCTTTTCTTAACGTCGTCATGATTGATGTCATGATTGTCTTGTTTGGACGTGTCATTTAGCTTCGTCGTCCATTCACGTCACGTAATACAAAATTTGGTATATGTGAAGCTAGCGAAAAGGCCGCGAGCATGCTATGAGCAGAGCTTTAGTCATGTTTGACATCACACGCATGTCACGATTATTATTTTTGGACGTGTCATTTACCTTCATCGTCCATTAACGTCGCGAAATACCAAATTTGGTATATGTGAAGCTAGAGAAACGGCCGCGAGAGCATCATGAGTGTGGCATGTAGTCATGTTACATGACACGCACGTCATGATTATCATGTTTTCACCAGTCATGCCTTCGTCAGTCATTCACGTCCCATAACATCAAATTTGGTATATGTGAAGCTGGCGAAACGATCGAGAGCACATCATGAGCATGGCATGTAGTCATGATTTACATGACATGGATGCTATGATTTTCACATGAGGGTCTGTCACTTCTGTTCAGCAGGCCCCGCCGCTGTGGTCTCGTGGCTAAAGTATTCGGCTGCTGACTCGCAGGTCGTGGGATCGAATCCTGGCTGCGGCGGCTGCATTTCCGATGGAGGCGGAAATGTTGTAGGCCCGCGTGCTCAGATTTGGGTGCACGTTAAAGAACCCCAGGTGGTCGAAATTTCTGGAGCCCTCCACTACGGCGTCTCTCATAATCATATGGTGGTTTTGGGACGTTAAACCCCACATGTCAATCACTCAACTTCTGTTCACTAGGCAGTCATGCCATGCCATACCAGTTTTGCATTATGTCATGTGAACAAAACCACTGCAAGAGCAGCGAGACCATGAAATGTGAATCATGACAAATATGTCATGATTTTCATGTTACGTCTAGTCGCTTATGCTCGCCATACAGTCATGTTATGCCATACCAATTTTGGTATCAATACCATTATCGAAATGGCCAGGAGAGCTAAAGTCGTAGGTGGCTAAATAGATAGCTAGGCAGACAGATATAAAGATAGAGACAAATAGATAGATACGCTCAAAGTAGTTGAAGTTCGCTAAGAAATGCTTCGCATTTAATACACATGTTGTAAGGATTCTAGTGTCCCATTACCAGTAGCAAGCTCTCACTTTTTTGTTTGGTCTCCTACCATTTATCTTTGTCCTTTAATTATTACTTGAACACTTTCACTGCTTAGATTCTCGGTTTTTGTAGTTCGTTGGCATCACTGCAAAAAAAGTACGGTGTGCACAGCATAAGTATGGAGATATTCTTTGTTAATCTTTATTCCTGTTTCTTATGAACATGGGGGCTGAAATACTTCTGCTAAGAATGCTGTAAATATTGCTCGGATGGTGTCTCCTTGCCAGATTCATTTTACGAATGGAATTTTTCTGCTCTCCTGTGGACTCCCTGTATATGTTGGCTAGGGTATTCATGTATGCATTGTGCACTAGCTGCTTGACAACACGTCTCTGCGACTCCTGATATCTCTACCGAGGCAAACGCCTTTTTGTAGTCTATGCAAGCTAAATAAGTAGATGGGTTGTGCGCATGCTATGATCCACAGTGGAACATCTGTTGACCTGTAAATAATTCTTCAAATCTTTCATGTCTCCTTTTTTCTGTATTTGTGTGGTATTTGTGTTTTTACAATTCGCTAGTACATTTGATTGGCCAGTATGCGAGGCATTGTGCGGAAAGTGTCACAAGCTTGTTAAACAGGAGATCTCCTTCATGTTTGATCAAGTAAACAATTTCACTGGATGATTTTTCGTGGGTTATGTTTTGTAGGGCTTTTTTCTATTCCCCTTTTCCATTCAATCTCTCAAGGTAGGGTACCCAACCAGATTCATTCCTGGTTCTGATTATCTTTCCGATTCCTCCTTTCTAACCTTGTTGGTACTCATAGAACTTAAGTTTTGTTGAACTTTGGCTTCTTCTACTGTTAGATGGCTTATTTTTTAGCTGTAGAGCTCATATATAGTACTCTTCTGCAACATTTACTTTGTTGCTGAAACTGCTGATAATCATTACCATACTTATCCGTTATAGTGTGCATTCGAAAACAGTTTCCTGTTGTCTTGCTTCGTCCTTTTTTTCGATTCTTCTATTTCTTCGGTGCTATAATTCCTCGTGTCGCCAATTTTCTTTTTCTCAGTCAGCCATTTTAGCTCAGCAAATTCAATTTTAGATCTTGAGCTGGTAGCTTTTGTGGGTTGCCATTTCTTCTATAGCTTTTTTTTTATTTTGAGAGTGCATTCTTCTTGCCTTAGTGCTTTAACCTAACTGTAGTTGTGTGTCAGTGTAGTTATGGTTTTGTTCATTTTCTCTGTGGGCCTCGCTTACGTGTGTTTTAAGGCAACGCTGAGCATGCTCGTGACTGTGACTGCTCCATTTTGAAGGGAGCCTTGCAAGTTTTCTGCAAATTATACGAAAAATAGCATTTTGAGTTGTCGTGAGATTCCGCATTCAATTTTGGCGGGCTTGCTGATGACGATGACTATGGAGTTCAGGTATGTGAAGAGATGCGTTTCGTCAAACATTTAAAATGAAAAGTTAAAGACGAAAAAGCATTAAACACGAATCACCGGTTATTGTTCCTGTAGCTAGGGCGGTAGCCGCATTGAATTTCGCTCGTAACTGTCTTGGCTTACATTGGCTTTGCATTGACTCGCAGATGTCTGAAACTATGGCTGTTTTTGGATGGTGCCCATACTGTACATATTTTACTTAGGAAGACAAGTGCGCCTTGCAGACTGCTTATAAATTCATGAACTAAACTTGCTATCGTTGTTCAGTGCACATTCTCTAAAGGTTTTCACGTGAGTGCGATTATAAAAAGCGGAACTCCTTAAGCTTTTCATTATTCCGCATGCCTGAACAGAAACCAGCTTGCTTTTGCCACACTCCGGCCTTGAGCACGATATAACTCATCAGATACACCTAATGTTATTAGACACCTAATGTTATTTAATGTTATCTGAAACCCAGAAAGGGCACTGTGTAGTATTAATATGAACTACGTACTTCGTGATGTCATTCTCGTTGAACCAAAATTACTGGGTCAAACTGCAGTCTTTGCATCGACTACGGGGTGCAACAAGGCGGGACTTGCCCCCCCTCCTCCCGCCACACCAGCAGCTGCCCCACAACAGGCCCTCCCCCCCCTTTTGCTGAGATACAACACGGGCTTGTGCCCCCAATACGAAACCCTACAATGTCCATGACTTCACCGAGCACAAATGTTTCGGATTTGATAATTTGATGCGACCTTGAATTTCTAGATGCCACTTATTATCGATCACAGCAGTTGTTTACACCTGCCACAGCAGCAGTGTAAACAGCTGCCCTACACTGACTACTCCATGTATTGTTTACGAATGCCAGAGCTGCAGAATCAATAGGGGATTATTACGCATTTCCTCATGCTCACTGTCGCTAGTGATGCACTGCAGAAAAAGAATTATCATTATTGAATATGCCAAATCTTTTTCAGACATGTCAACCATCAACAGTGAAGCAATGTCTACGAGCATGCTAGAGAGCGAACCATACAGTAAGTATGCATTGTAATTTTTTACGTGTAATTTTAGTGGTGTGGCAATAATATCAACGTTGCAACAAGCTGTAGGTGCTGAACGCATCGAGTGGAACATTCACCTCGCAGTTGCTATTACTTGTCAGAAAAGCATTACTCAGATGCATTCTGGAATGTCACAGTAAATAGAAAAGGACACAAAGATAATTACAAAAAAGGATACAAAGATACAGAGATAAATTGTTTGTTTTGACAACAACTTACCAAGCTCCAGCAGCTTTTGTTACGGCAGTGTATAGCGTTTAGTTTACAGGTTGTTCCTGATTTGGTTGCAAATAGAAAAGCATTCTCGGTGTATGCAGCCACGTAATGTGACAACTGCGCATGCTTGCTTTTATGTCTCGCATTATTTTTCTATCGGCCTCTACAAGTAAAGATGATAGCAAGCATGCCATTTGAAGTTCCTGACACAATCGTCATTCTTGGAGCCGCACGCAGTTCTTTGAAACAAAGCGCTGTGCTTTGAAAATAAGTTGAGGCCCACGGTTATTCGAACAGCTTCGGTAACCACCACTCACCAGATAACCAACTGAACTGCTTCTTTGTCGAGCTTTACCACGGTCGATAGTTTCTGTATGGCGCCAGACCTCAGAACGAAATCCACAAATTGACGTATACAAGCGCCGCTATGGGTCCCAGGCCATAATATCATAGAGATAACATACCGACTCTATATTATAGGCTCCATGTATCGAAATCCAGACACTTTGGCTCTCTTGCCAGGAGTGAGCATGTTGTTGCGCCACCTGCTGATCAACATGCCCACTATTAGACGCGTTGTTTGGGTTTTGTGTGGTTGCTACCAAATGGTGCGACAGTCTGCTAACTTCTGAAAAACCGGGCCATTTGCGTGTCCGGGTTTCGGAACGCAGTTTCGCAACTAGTACGGTTTAATAACTATGGCCGCTGGATATGAAACAAGAATAACTCTAGTCTGGCAAGGGAATGCGCGGCACTTCGCAAACCTCCCCATTAAAGCCGCTGAATTCGACGCCCCGTTTTAGCCAATTTAGTTGGCACTTTTCGTTTCCACTCGGCCGCATGAGCAACCTACAAGCCAAAGCAGCTGTGCGGCGAGCTCGCAATGCAGCTGCCGCTCTGGCTTGCCTCCAAGACTTTGCGGTGACAGCCCAGAAAGCCGAAGAGATCTTACCGTCCAGCAAACCCAGATCTGCGGGCCAGCGAAACCGCAGCGAGGAGGCTCGTTGTCAAGTACACCCCGAGCTGTAGCACTTTTAAATGCGGAGAGAGCACTTCTTAGTCGAACAACGTCTCGCATCGGGGTAGGTGCCATCCACACCCCCACTGCACATGCTCGGCACGTCTCGTGCCTCGTCTCATCTCCCTTCGACGGACCTCACCCCCATACTCTTCTCCTTCGAACGCGGACGGTGTGTATTGCGCGGCAGAGGTTGCATTTCGGAATTCTGTCAAGGCTGAATTTACTTGGCTTTAATTTTACTGGACGCTTTTCTTGACTTGAGTGGATGCGATGGAGGCAACAGTACTTGCAACCTGTAGTGAAGCACAGCCCAACATCAGCGTCCCACCACTCGTTGAAGGCAGTGTTAACCCACCTTCACCGTCATCGGTGCTAACAACAGCAAGCAACGCAGAAGACAAGGCTGCAAAGAGACGAGCATATAACGCTGAACGCAAGCGTTTGAAGCGAGCTGCAGATCCGGAACTTCATGCACAAGAAGCTGCTGTGAAACGACGGGCTGCGGATCCTTCACCTGCCACTGTGACGCATTTACTCGAGTTCCCCCCGTGAGAAAATGTGAGCACCAATTTTTTCGTTATCCCTCGGCCGCATCAGCAACCTAGAAGCCAAAGTAGCAAGGGCTGAACGCAGCTGCAACTCGGGCTCGCCACCAAGACCCTGTTGTGATAGCCTGGGAGGCCAAAGTGAAGAGGGCTCGCAGTCAAGCAAACCTTGAGCTGCGGTGCAGAGAAGCAGAAGCTAAGCGGGCGCGCCGTCAAGTGGACCCTACGGTCAAGGATCGCGAAGCAGAAGCAAGATAGAAGCGGCGGCAAGAGAATTTGAAGAAGTGCGGGTGCGAGATGCCGCGGCTAAGTGCCCAAAGTGGTTGCTACCTCACGTAGGCAGCGCTGATGCGCGCTTCGTGCGGGATTTGATTTCTTTCACTGCACTTTAAGCCACAGCTGCGAGTTATGCAACCGCTTGTGGTGTGACATGACCATGTTTGCCAGCATTTGCATTGAGCGATCCCGCACCAACGCCATCGCAGTCCTTCAATGAGAGTTCCCTGCCGCTTTCACGTCGTCATCCCCGACAGCAGATTGCAGTGAGTACAGAGCTTGTTCTATATATGATCGTAGGTGATGTGTACGGATGATTCGCGGGTTACCCGATTATCTCCGGTCAAGCTCCTCTAACATCACTTAAATTTTTGGATATGGGGGATGTTTTTTAGTGGCGAAGCCCCTTATGGCGGGACCTAGCCAGAAGTCGAGCGGCGTCTATCGTCGACCATCCTCTGTACGCACTAGCGTCTTCCTTCTCCTGCAAAATAGATGGCGCTGGCTCATAGAAATGCATGCAAAGGCAGTTGGTTGATCATATACTAGATAGCGCTATATGCATTTGATTTCTCGTCTCGTTTACGAGAGGGTGATGTCCCATAGACATGAGTACAATATAGTAGTTGGGTGAGGGTACGCTAGATGACGTTAGCGATGCAGCTGTACTCCAATTGGCTGTTGCGCGGCGCTCCACTGGCGCGCCCGTTATCTCTCATTCTGGATTGTCGCTGTGCGAGTGCGTTGCGGGATCGTGCTGCTTGGCGGAACATGGGCGTTGAGGAACGCCAGGTGCGGAAGGCCGCTGCGGCTCATGTTTGTCGGCAGGATCCCGAGATGCGAGCTATAGAGACCATTGCGACTCGATCGCGGCGCCAGGCAAATTTCGAGGGGGTGCACACCCGCGAAGCCGCCATCAAGCACGCGCAGTGCCAGGCAGATCCAGAGACAGTGCGCGCCAAGGAGGCCACTGACGAGATGTGCACAGCGAGAAGCGGACCCGGAGACGTTGAGGGCACGTGCTACGGCTGCAAAACATGCGCAGCGAAAAGCAGACCCGGGATTGCGAGTGTGAGAAGCGGTGGCCAAGCGCCGCGAGCTCCCGCGTGTCAAAGGCGTGGACGCGCAGTTTCAGCGAGACTTTCTTGCTGTGTCGTTTGGACAGAGTTACGACGTGTGCGATCTTCTGTGCTTGCAAACAATCTGGCGCTCGTGTCTGAATTCAAGAGCGAGAGTGCTCAAGAGAACACCATCATTCTTCGGTGCGAGTTTCCTGCCGCTGCCGAAACAAAGTACGGTGAGTACAAGGTGTGCTCGAGTTGCAGGGATTCTGTGGTGGTGGGAAAGTTCCCGCTGGTGAGCGTGTTGTAGTGGTATTGTTGTCCGGCGAGGCAAGGTTCTGTTTAATGTTGCATAAGTCTGTTGTCAGACTCACTAGGTCAGATTTAGGCATCCATGAATTTAGGGGTCACTGTGGCCAGACTTGCTGCCAAATTTCGCGAATAAATTTGCTCCTGTAGCTGTGCCTTTCCGTGAGGGCTCTGTGGTGCATTTCAGGAGTGTCTATGGGCAAGGTGGCCGGTTTAGGAACGAACGTACAACGCGCATAGCAGAAGTCGCGGCTTGCTCTCTTGCTGTGTGCGCAGTTGTGCAATTAAGAGGTCGGACAATGCGCAACGGCATGTATGAACACACGCTCAAGAGGAATTGAATTTGTGCGCCGCGCTTCAATACATCGCACTTGTGTAGCCGAAGCATGGTATAACTGTAGCTGTTTGTATCTAGCCGTAGCTGTGCATTTCACGCATCGCCGGTACAACGTTGCAGACGATGACCACGCTGTGGCTCACCTGATCAAAGAGTACAGGTCATGACGTCAAAGAGAAGAATTAAGAGGCCGCTGCAGATGCCGTCGCAGACGAAGACGTCGATCTCTTGCCCAGTGAAGACCTTGTTCACCTCGTTAGAGAGACGTGTGCGTGTCCGGCTGTGCGCAAGTGGCAGGACATCATGGGGAGGAGTTTGTTTAATACCTTCATGCGCATGATCAACCACGAATATTACAAGTTGCTCAGGGAAATCATACACCGCCAGACCACTGCCGCATCCCCTCCACTGCGCGTCTTCCTCGCGGGGCCTGCCGGCCGCGGGAAGACGTTTGTCCTCAAGCTGCTCATACACATTTACAACCACTACAACAGTGACGTCCGGCCGTACAACTCGTACATCGTGTGTGCAAGCACCGGCAAGGCCTCAGTGGCTATCGGGGGAACCACTGCAAATGCACTCGATGTTCAAGCTTACGCGTAACAAGGAGGACGTAGCATTGTCTGACTGCAAACTCAACACGTTCTGGGTCACCTTCAGAAACGTCAAGTGCGTCGTGGTCGACACGGTCAGCATGCTGTCGTCGGGAAAGCCCTGGGGTCATTGACAGATCACCCAGCGGTTAGACGAACCGTTCGGCAGCTTGGACGTTGTCATGTGCGTTGACCTGCGACTGGTGTTGCCCGTACGGGCCAACAAAGTGTACAAGAGGTGCCGCAAGGCGGCCGGACTTTTTGGGTCCACCATCAAGTGGCATTAATTAGCTCGACTACTTCCCTTTCGTGTGGGCCGTCAGGCAGGTGGGTGCATCCTTCTTGGCGCTGCTGACAAAGATTGGAGACAGAAGGGAGCTCAACAATCAAGAGATGAAACTCCTCGATAGCAGGATCATCACCGTGGACAAAGCGCTGGTGCGCGCCCCGTTGGCTGTGCGAATCTTCCACTTGAACAAAGAGGCGTGACCAAGTTCGACACCTTTGTGGCCATGCAGGGAGGTGACGATGTCGTGAGAGTGGCTTTCATTAAGCATAAACATTTGCTCTGCAACACAGGAAGGTCGATGAAAGTCATGCAAGATGTTTAATCTGATGATTGTATTGCTCCACTTGAAACAGGCAGCCTTTATACCGGAGCAACACACTGAAATGACTGTTGAACACGTCACTCACTGGCAGCATGAAATCCATGTTGCATGTCCAATCGCTGTCAGAGCTGTAAAGTTTCTTGATTAAAAAAAAAAAATGCTGGGGAAAGCTGTATGAGTATGCACATGGCCAGGTAGATAACGATTGTTAATGCGGGTGTACTGTATATATACAAAACTGTTAAATAGCCGAAACCTGCCTAATCTGAGACAGGTGTGTACACAGCACACTGCAAAGCAATACAAGCAGTCTTGCTGCTGTGTTAATCAGAGCCAAAATTCTCTTGTGGCCTTCACCACTATAAGCATTTTCGCATGATGAAAAAGATGCATTGTCACTTGTGCTAGATTTATTTTAATAGTTTCGCCATACAGCTGTGATGTCTCTCTACTGTAATGGAAGAAATGAAGCCTATACTTGTGAAAATTGCCTGCAGTTGCTGAAAGAGGAGTACTGCTGAGGAGGTGCCCTTGTGGTCAAGTGGTCAACACGAATGATGCAAGCCAGATACTAGGTTGGAAAGTGCGAAGGGACGTTTCAATCCAGTGTGACCTACAAGAGATGGCTCCCCTGCCTCTCCCGAGAGAAGTTTGTACGTACCTTGTACCCACATCTGAGAAATGGCAATGGTGCAGCTTAGTGCAAGAAAATTTGGAAATTGTTAAAGGAGTTCAAACAGCAGTAGAGTATTTTTCATAGCAGCGCTACTTTTTATGCTCACCAGTGGCAATGTCCATGGAATATTGTCACCATTAACATCAGAAGCAGTGATTCTACACGTTACTGCGGAGGATTTCACAAACTAAGTTGCTGCATTTTGTAAGAGAGGCAGCATCTGCAACAAATAAGTCGGCTGTCTATTTGTAGCAAAAGTGACCAGCAGATCAGTATAAAGATTGTCAACATATTTATTTACTATCACCATGGTCCTTCAATACTTTTTTCTGGTCATGAAACTCCCGCGAAAGTTTCATATAGGGACACAAGTGGCCACCAGAGGCGCCACCGTAAACAGGAGGGCATCGATCGGCCGCGCTTGGCAGGGCTGTAGCGCGTTCGCGGAAGCGTTTCCCATCAAATACACTTCTTCAGATATTTTCCTTCTCCGTGTTATCGCTAACAAATCATAGCAGCTATTAGTATTGTCAAAGTGGTCCATGATGCGCGTTGTCAAATTGCCTAAGTCTTTGACTGCTGGCAATGTTTTAACTGAGTTCGTCTGTCAAGTGACGCGCATTCGTAGCGTTCCTAAATTTCTCGATTCCTGCATAGCCGCTTTTGGGGCTTAAACCGAACACTGTGACTGGTTCTAGATGACTGAAAGGTTAACATATTTTGCGCTAGAGATTGCGGAGCAGCCGTGCTCTGGCTGCACGTAACGTTCATTTTCGGAATAACTATCACTTTATTCCATATGGCATCACGAAGCAGCCAATAGAAGTTCGCGTGCCAATAAACAAATCTGTGTATCAGGGTGACTTGACATTAATAGCCTTGAAGTACCTCTTGAGGGATATCGTTAGTGAAACATAGCTGAAAAATTAAAAGCTCAGAATGAGACACCACAAGACAGAGAGGGATGCTCAAGTTGTGCTCTTTTCTTTTTTTTCTTTGATGTCATAATTAGCGCCCCTGATTTTAAAGATTAAAAAATGAGATGAAACTGTTGTGAGCTGCTAGATATAGGCACTACGTGCTATTTCGAAGCGAGAGCTTTTGTTTTTACGCATGCAGATTTGATAACGCAGCCGAGTTTTGATATACGCGGCTTTTTTTTTATCCATTCCCATGTACTCTCCCAATGACCACGACTTCTAAGTCCGCGTTCTAATTAGCCACCCTGTTCCTTCTACGCGCACATAGAAATCAACCAGGATCTTCCTTCAACCCAGTTATTCAGTTTAAACGAATCAGTTGTACATGAAACTGCATTGCTCTTTTTGAATATTTCTAGAGATTTTCTTTATGCACTTAGATATCTCTTTCAATCCAACTTGAGCTTTTTATGTGCGAGATATTTCTGCCTAACGAAAGCAAATCTGTGTGCCACTTACCTAGCAGGGGGTAACATTTTGAATTTGGCAACTACGCTACGCGGCAATCGTCGAGAATTCGAAACTGCCATGAGCACAGGCACATAGTTTATTCAAATCTGCGTTTCAAAACTGTGGATGAAAGTTGGGAGACGGAGTGGATGACACAACAAAAATCATTGAAAAAATTTATGTCCCTGGTTTCCTCCCTCCTTTGGCCGGGCAGGATAAACGACGTCCGCCAGCACGAAACAGTTTGTTCTGCTCACGCGTAAAAAAATGCAGACGGCACTTAATAAAAAAGTGCACAACTTCTGCCGTAGTGCTCACGAAATGTGAGCCACAGCCAACACTGGCCGAAGAAGTGCGGTCGTCCAGCAGGATGTTCTCAACAATGTTCATGTAAACACTGGCACAGGCTATTTTGTCCACCGTGCACATTTCCACATGTTCTTCCACAATTTGCAAGAGCCGCAGTAATTTCTCCGATGGCACTTGCAAAAATCCTCTTGTCTTGATTTGAGTCAATGCAGTTGGCTCTCGGGAGTTGCTTCTGAGTGTTTGGAGGCAGTCCTTGCAGCTTATTTTAGCAAACTTTTTTGCTACATACCCACCAAGGTAATCCAAAATACAGTCCCTCGTTGACTCGGGATGAATCATGTCTTGCATGCATTCAGCAGGCTCCAGCAGTATATCGTCAAAAAGAACTGCCAAGGTATCAATCTGAAACATATTTTGCGTTATCACAATGGCCAGAGTGAGAAATTTGTAAAGTAAAATATAAAAATGCAGAATAAAACTTCTAGGCGCTTAAGCAAAAAAAAAAAAAAAAAATTTTTTTTTTTTTTTTTTTGCTTAAGCAAGTGATCTTATCTTCTTTCTAATATATATATGTGTGTCGTAGTAGTAATAAATCAGTTGAAAGTCTGCGCTCGTCCTCGTCTCTTATGTTAGTTGTCTGAAGTTTTACGCGCCTAGAAGTTTTATATGGATTACCAACTAGCCCAATCCCACACTTTACTTAAGCAGAATAAAAGTCTGTTCTATATCATACGACCAGACGTGCATGTCATTAGCATCAAAAAGCTAGACGACATTCAGCACGTTTACGATGCACAAACACCCTACAAGCAGCATTGGTGGGTGCTATTCAAATGTTTACCTGATTAACAGTAGGCTCTTTATGTTGAAAGAGATCCTGCATTTTCAAGAGGAGACGCGGACCATCCCCTTCAACCGAGGCTCTCTGTGGAGGACGGATCAAGTTGTTCACCGAGAGCAACCGGTAAATGAACAAAAATTGCTGAACAGTTGGCTGTCCCCCTGCTCCAGCGACATGTCTTGCGATGCCAAAAAATCTCTGAAAAATATAAAAGTGTGAAGAAAACGTCTTCAACGAGCAAAAACGTTTAAATGTACCTCGAGGTGGTCTTGTCCAAAGTTGCCAACTAAAACATAGCGAAAGCCACAATTCAGCAGCTTTTCAACAAGCGTCACTGTGCTGTGCAAAGTCATTCTCAAAGCATTGCATGTTGGCTTGCTGAGAAAGAAGAGTTGCTTTTGCTTTGGTAAACTCTGGTTGTAAGTGTGCCACCTGTCAAGCCATTCGATGTTCTCCTTCAGCGTCTGAAAAACAATCTGATTTAAGTGGAACTTCAAAGGATGTGACAGTAGGTTTGAAATATTAGGGCTTACAGAAATGTGTTCCGCTTCATTGTACTGCACATCTTGTGGCCTTTTAGAATTGAAGCAGTCGAATAGACTATTCATTCGCCTCGCAAAATCCGAAGTTGCTTTGGAGCCACGAAGTTTCACACATTCTTCTCTACTGCGATAGAAGTCCATTGCTGAAGCAGTGCTTTCACTGAAGAGCTGAAATGTTTTAGAGAAGTTATATGGCAGAGTGTTGTATTCTGATGAAGCAACACCACTTTTTGTTACACATACTGATTAATGACTCATGCTAGAGCAGCTGTTATGTCTTACCTGGACAGCAAGTCTCACACTCAGTTTTTGGAAAGCGTTGGGGCTGATGTGAGCTTTCGTAAGCTTTGGCACAGCCCGAAGTCCAGCTTGCTGCTCCTCGTAGTCCAGCAGAGCTTCAAAGTGGGAATGCTGTACTTCTTTGTCACCAGGCAACTGTTACATTTATAAAAAGGCTGTGAGACAAAGTTAGCCAGAGCACTGTGATGACTTATCTTAAACTGTTTTACGCACCAGGAACTTTCCGGCCTTCAAAAGGTTATTCCTGATGCACTTGAAGATGTGCGGCGGGTCAATTATAGCCTGAATGACTTTGGAGGAGTCACATGGATGCTCAAACGATGTTGATACTCTTGTGACATCACCACTGACACCTAAAAGAAAGGCATTTCTATTATTAAAATCACTTACTAAATACCTTGAAAATAAATAATGACTGCAAATATTTACCCAAGGAGTTCAGTGCTGATCGGTTCGAAGTTGAGTTATCGCAAGTGACTGCCTCCACAATGACGCCGGCATTCGATAGGAGTACAATGCACTGCAGGATCAGTTTGGCAACAGTGGATCCTGGTGCAGCCCCGGACGTGCAAAACGCTCCGACAGTCTGCGACCAGCCACCAAGGAATGGTCGGAAAAGGAACACCAACACGTGGTCCCCATCTTTCACTTGGTCAGTCGGCTTCGTGTGCTCTGCTAAGTCCACCTTTCCAAGCAGTGCCATATCCGATTCCCTGACGTGAAGGCTCTTTCTCACGCTCATCTCATCAAACATGAGGACACCTAAAGAAAAAAAAATATTTCAGCTCTTTACCTAGAGTCCAGAAAAATCAAATGCAAAAGAAAAAAAAAGATAAAAACCTCGCCGTTCTCTCTTTGGAATCTTTTCCACTTTGTCTTTGAGGATGTCAAATAAATTTTCATCAAATCCGAAGCCGGCCTTCAGATTTTTCAGATAGGAGTAGAGTGTGCGAGGGTGTGGTAGAGGCAGAAAATTATTCTCGTGAAGAAATGTATAAACTGCTGTGGATTTGATTTTCAGCAGTAAACAATCGTAAAGCCATTCCTTTTTATACCTGCAATAAATAAAATGCAATTTTTGTGGTCACGATTCTGCTACAGCTCAAGCAAACAGCACCATCAAAGTAAAACAAAATATTGCGTTTTGTCCCACGGCTTCACTTAGTAGTTTCTGTCAATATCCAGAAAGCAAACGAATGCGCACCGAACATCGCACTTCACATAAAATTGCACACACACACAAACTTTACAAACCGGATCTTACCGTGCTGCTTTCGCAGACTTCATATTTGCTTTCATGATGCACTGGTCTATAATGAGCTTCTCGCGGTCTGAAAGCTTGTGAATATCTGCATACACTCCATTCTTTCTATTCGCGTGCGCCTCCGCTTTTGTGAGTTTCCGCTGACATGACTGAAGCTGTTGCTTCACGCTGCGAAGTTGGGCCTTCACTCTCTGTAGCTCCGACGCTGAACAAACGGTGACCTCTGTTTGACACTCTGCATCAGCGTAGCCATTGCGATTCTCAGTTCTCACAACATCTGCAAAGAGTGAGAAAGGGCAATATTTATAAGGGAAGGAACCAATTTGGTTAGCGTAGTGAGCGAATTTTGTTAGCGTGGTGAGCGGGTAGGATACTTGCAAACTTTGTGCCAGACTTACCTTCGATTTCTTTGTCGGCTGCACTGGAGACGTCTGCATTCGCGACTGTCGCATCACAATCCGGAGAAAGCTCTCGCGGCCTTTTTAGAGGTGGGCCCTTCGTTGCACGCGAACGCTGCTTTGGTTTCGAGAGGTAGGAAGGCAAACCTTCAAAAATCCTTGGTACGGCGTCTTCCACCAGTCTCGGTCGTTCTCGGGGCAGCGAAACGATGTCTCCGTTCACAGTGCACACGTCCGCACGTACAATGTCACTGGCGTCGAAATGTTTTTCACACACGCGAGCGTACTTTGATTCGAACGAAAATCCGGCAGTCTCCTGTCGCGGGATCGCACGTTTCCACCTGACGCGTTGTTCTGCGTTGGCTGGTAAACAGAACAGGGAAACTTTTTCGACGGTGCCCTTGTATCCAGAATGACAGCCCGGCACGCAGCAGGTGTTGGGCATCGCTGTCAACACGATGCGACCGCGAAAAGCTAAAAAGGGGGGCGATCAGCACGACCACCACAACTCCGCGCCAACAGTCCGCTAATGGCGGCCAACAGAGCAGCCGGCCGGGCCGGCTTCCTCGTCCCCCGTCTAGCTACGCCAGCGCCGCGGCGCGGAAAGTGCGGGCGGTATATGAAGCTCTCCCATTGAGTGACGCGGGAGTTTCATGACCAGAAAAATATTGAAGGACCATGCTATCACTAAGCTTGCTATTGAACCTTGCGGCTTGTCAGCTTTGACTAATGGTACGTGGCTATTATACTGGCCACCAGTGACGCTGCAGTCTATCACTCAAGGCATTTCTCTGAGAAACTAAGCTGCCTATAAATCATAACTATGAGAGGTTTCTTGGCAAAAAAGAATGCGGGAACTTTGTATCAAGTTGCGCAAAGGTTGGCACAGTGAAGCGCAAGCTTGTCGCTGCTCGTACTCCCCGTCAACTGACATGTCTAGCTCTGAGATGTGCAGCTTCCTCCTAGGGCACTCTCTTAGGGCAACTTGTGAATTCCTGGACATGATGGGGTGTAGCCAGGCTAGGTACCATAGAGAGGAGGCTGTGCGCAATGTTTCCATTGGTTGGTGTGGCGTATAGCCACTGCACATGTGCGACTTGATCAGGTTATGCAGTATCTGGTCTCTAGATGAAAAAATGCTTGCTTAGTCTTTCTTGCTTTCCTTTATTGTAGTGTATTTCTATCTCTATATTTATCTCTTACTCTTTCTGATATGGTAAGTAGAAGGCAATCATCGCATCTCTCCTCGCGAGACTTGCCTTAGCCACTCCTGTGACTACACTGTAACTATATACAAGGCTATGTTATGGTCTTTCTGCATACATAAGGCCCTGCCCGGCAGAGTGTGTTAGGACGCTTGTTTACACATTGAACGAGCCCCGCCGCGGTGATCTAGTGGCTAAGGTACTCGGCTGCTGACCCGCAGGTCGCGGGTTCGAATCCCGGCTGCGGCGGCAGCATTTCCGATGGAGGCGGAAATGTAGGCCCGTGTGCTCAGATTTGGGTGCACGTTAAAGAACCTCAGGTGGTCGAAATTTCCGGAGCCCTCCACTACAGCGTCTTTCATAATCATATGGTGGTTTTGGGACGTTAAACCCCACATATCAATCAATCATTCACATTGAACGAACGCGGGTTTAAATTCTGCCTTGGGAACAATATTTTTGTGGCAAGGACATTGCTCTTTCTTCATATCTTTTATTGTTTCTTTTCCTCTCTTTGTGTGCTCTTTCTCTCAACCATTTGGATTATTACAAGCCATGCCATTGTAGTGGTGAGTAGAGGGATTGACCCAATTCTGTGCTGCATACCGGTTCATAATGACGATACTTTTTGGGCATGGTCCTGTGCTCTATGCCGAGCTAGAACAGTCTCACAGTTGAAACTATGATTTACTCTGCTCTATCAAGTGCTTTGCTTGTGGAATCCACAGAAATGTGTACACTGTTTAAATCTGTTAGCAAATTGCATGTGGTGGACAGGAATGCCATTTGCACTAAGGAAACTTGCTGTAATATTTGTATATATGTAGTGTTTGCAACTGCACACTGCAAGTTCTCACAATGGAGAGAGTGAATGCCCCTTAGTTCTGGTTTCAAGGTGCCATTTGGCCTGCGCTCGATGCTATTATCTAGTATCTGCTGGTTACTTTAAGGCTGCTTTACCATCATCTTTGGGCTGTAGTGTTACAAAGTAAAAGCTTGGATAATAACGGTTTTGTATTAATAATGCGGCAAAGCTCATGAGCAAGTTGCCTGGAACATATTGGCCTATTACGTAGAGATGCAGTTAAAAAAAAATTCACTAATCTGTAGTTCAGGGCAGTAAATTTTTTTCCTATATGTCATGTTTTTATGTTGTTTTCAAGTAGTATGTGATTAGTTTTATAGTAAGCTGCACAGTTTTTACCTTGTAACATGATGATGTGTAATGTATAGTTCATTTTGGATAAACATCTTATGCCTCTGAATTTTTATGGTTCTGAGCTATTGTGGGCTCATGCTACTCCATGCTAACTGTAAAATGCGAATAACTATGAAGAGAGTGTGTATAACACATTCTAATGGACAAGAAAATTGTAACGTGAGAATTCTTAGAATCATCAGCCCATACTAATTGTTTGCTTTAGATTCGTAATAACTATACTGGCATTATAAAGATTTGATAGAGATACTTGCAGCCTTCACATGCTGGTGAATATGTGGGCAAAACTTCATCCTGATCTGGATATCAGAAGTACCATAAAAATGATGCCCTAAACTCAGGAATTTGCCCGAAATAGGATCTTGAGAAAAACACATATTA